ACGGAGAAGCCCTCATCCCGTTCTTGATGGCTCTGCCTTCACGATCTAATCCCATTCCAAAGTCCCACCCCTTCATACCACACTTGGCAATCACGCTTTCCTTATATGAATTTGCCGAGGACCCGGAAGTTCAGACCAGAGAAGCCAAACGCTGAGCTCCCGAGAATCACTCAGGGTGCAGTGGATGTTATGCACAAAACATTGTAAGAAACCAACTTATGATTCTGATTTTTAAATCTTTCGCACTTTAAAGCAAATTGAGATGAGGGAAAGCTCTTTTGCTTCCCATAATTCACCTATTCTTGCAATTTATCACTTGCTGTGTACTTTCTCTTGCACAAGCACAGGAACCATAGGGCAGCACCGCAGTCCATATCCTGATAGCAGAGGAAGGAACCCACTGTAATCATCAGTCACGAGAATTCAGAAATCTACAGGGCGGGGAAATAAAATCTATATGCTTGGATTGGCCGTGGTTAATCAGTGTGATGTAAGTGATCCTAGATAAATAGTGAAAATGTTTTAGAGGCTTGGTATATTTATTTAAATAGGCAAAAAAAAAAGTATTATAACATTGGTCTTGGAAATTTGCCATTCAAAGTGTTAAATGTTTTAGTGCTAAAAGGTTTAAAAATAAAACAACCCTCCTACCGATATCAGAAAGAGGACACTCATTTATTTAGATGGCCTTGATAACATAAAATGCTTAACTATCATTTTATATTGTTAGTACTTATTTTATTCAGTTTATAGAGAGACATTATAGTAATTCTATAGTGAGCATCAAGTAACTGCATGTTAGCTACACATATATCTGTGCAAACTCTCTTTATATGCTTCTCTTATTTATGACAACCAGTAGGGAATGAACAAAGTAGAGAATATTAAAGTTGTTGTAAAATGATAGCACAATATTTCAAATAGCCATCATAATTTTGTGCATCTCATCTCCCATCCACTGCTTTCTCTATCTTCACACAACACGGCCATCTCCACAACTCCTACTAACCTTACTCTCTTCCCATCCCTTCCTTTCCCCACATCTATTCCAGAGAAAACAAATACTCATTCTATGGAAAGTACATCTTTTCGCAGCTGCTCTTTGAAATACCTTCATTCTGAGGGATATAAGCCAGGCTGATGCAAAAGGAACAGTCACTAGAAATTATTCACGCATGCCCAATGATCATCTCACTAACTGCCTGTGGGCGATTGGCTGGTCTTCACACAGTAAGGCAAACCCGGGCTTGGCTCCTTCAAATTGCACCATCAGTTGGCCCAGCTAGGGCACATCAGACAAAGGAGGGTGCAAGGGAAAACTGCATGGCTGCCTTTTGTCCAAAGCTAGGGCACGTGCATTATCATTGCTACGATTCCTCAGATTCAGGACCATTTCTCTAGTTCCAAAAGCAGAGTGGATATGCCACCTGTTTTGTCCCTGGAGTATTTTCATCCATGATCTTGGTCTGCCCTGTCTGAGAGTCAGGACCGTGCCACTGTGAACAGCACTTTGATGTCTCTGTGAAGACTCCATCTTCTCTTTGTCCACACGATATGGGGTTGTTAAACCCTTCACACTCTAACCATGAGTGTGTGGTCTGAGGCTTCCTCCCACTGCCATCTCCTTCTCCAGGCAGTTATAATACTTTCAGAGATTTTCCTAGGTGTGTAGGGAAAGAGGAGACCCCTTTCTCTTGGTGAGTGTACAGCTTTTGGAGGCCGTCTTGGCTCTGTGAGGTTGGAATCTTCCTGAATCAGATGAACAAGACATTACAAGGCAAGGGAAGCCAAGAATTGGAGAAAAACTGATTCCTGAATTTGAGTATCACCCCTTCCCAAAGATGGATTTGAATTATTTTATAAATCAACTTATTTCCTTTGAATTTTAAGCCTATTTTAGTTGGGCCATAGCCACTTGGAGCCAAAAGATTGCTGTTGGTGGTTTTTATTTTCATATCTGCATCCCTCTATACTGTACTTTTCAAAGCCAAGAAACGGGTCTTAAAAAGATTTTTCTATTTTATATCCAATACTGTAAACATTAGGAAATAGATAATTAGGGGAAGACGTAGACAAGTACACAGAAACTCCATGGTATTGAAAGAGTATGTAGCAACGAAAGAATGTGTTTAACACTAACTTCAAAACTTGGACTTGAAAATTTTCAGATGTAAGTATAGAGTTATGGAATTGAATAGACACCATTAACCAATCCTGAAATGTGAAGCTATCTACATTTCTCCTTTTCTGCTCTTTTCTTTTCTCCTCTCCCCTTTCCACTCTTCTCCCCTTCACCCCCGCCTTTTTTCTTTCTCTCCTCCCCTCCCGTCCCCTTCCCTCTCCTCTCTTCCCTTTTGTCTTTGTCTTTCTCCTTCACTCCTTCCTTCCTCCCTCCCTCCTTTCCATCCTCCTCTCTTTCTTGTCTTTGGAATGTATACAGAAATGTTTTTACTGTTGTATTTCTTCTCTAACAAATAAAATTTAATGTGAAGTCCATGAGGAAAAAAGGTACAAGACAAATCAAAGCTAACTAGTTAGAGTATCGCCAATTCACTTAGAGAATATCATCTATTGGGAATAAGTATAAACAAAATTCAAAGCTAAAGAAAGAAATTGTTCAGCTATATTTACTGAAATATCACTACCAGGGTTTACTTCTTTCTAGGTTTATTTTTCAAAACAAGCCAAATTTTGCAGAGGGAATCAAGCTACATTGGATACTCAGTTTCACATCCAACAATGAAAATAATCACAGCTTTAGCAGATGTCTCCACTTGTTCAACAGAACAACTACAAATATATTGATAAAATGTGAAAATGAATTAAATAACATGTTTATATATAATGTTCATATATTCTGTATTTCAATTGTGCTTTTCTTTGATCATTTTTACACTAAAATATAATTTCCTTTCCTAAGTCTAACACGAGGCTAGATCATTTTAGAGGCTTTAATCTTGGAGATTTTTGGGGACTGATATGTACCTATTGGAGATCTTTTTAGTGCAGGAAATTACACACCAAAACAGAATTTTACCAGGTTGTTTCCCTGTAAATTTTCATAGTCCAGGGAGTGAGAGAGGATGACTGCCTTACTTGTTTGTTTGGTTTTGTGGCACTGGGGGCTGAAGCCTGGTCCTTCCCAGTGAGCTACATTCCCAGTCTTTTTATTTTTTATAAGTCACTAAGTTTCTCAGGCTGGGCTCAAACTTGTGATCCCCTTGCCTCAGCCTTCCAGAGGACTGAGAATGCAGGTATGCACCACCACGGCGAGAGAAATGACTGTTGTTAAATCTTTTTTTTTCCCGTGACAGTGCAAAACACATGGCCCTTGACATTGCTGTGGCATCTTTCAGCTGTCTCTCAGCGGAGAGAGAAATAAATACATCCATTATCACAAGAATGAGGTCAAGGAACTTCTTGTGAGAAATAATTTTATAACTGATTTTATGAGAAAGTACAATTACCATGTTAAGAAATTCAAAAGGTTATGAAGATTGAACTCTTATGAGTAGACATTAAATAATATTTATTCATTGATATGTCAGGAATTTTTGCAGCTTTTATAATAATTAAACAGTGAAAGTTTAATACATTAAATTCATATAAGTAACTCTGAAATTAAAGCAGGGAGCCCAAGAGTGATTCATATGCCTTTACTTTTTCTTCCTCACTTTTCTTTTCCTATTTTTTTTAAAGAGTATAATTTGAAATTACCATCCACCATTGAAAGTCATTTTGTGAATTATTATATGTAAAATTTTATATATAGTCTCCATCTCACCTTTTTTACTCCTCATGAGTTAATGAAATTAAGGGTTAAAGAGAAAATCACAGTGAAATCACAGATAAAATAAGGATCTAACAATGACAAATTTACAAAACTTTCCACAATGTATAAAACAATGAAATTTGTTGGACAATGTCCTCTTTTCCTGTTTTCCTGAAATTTTCCAGCCAATAAGGAAGGTAACTGCTATCTACTCTGTCAGACACCAAGAACTTTCTGAGACATTTCTACTTATTCTGCTGAACATTTCTTCAGGAAACAGCATTCCCTTCTCTTTACACAAAAGAGAGTGAGGCTTAATAAAAGTAAACCACATCCCTAAGGTCACAATGATAGGAAGCAACTGCCCAGAGATTCAGACCCAGTTATGCCTAACTCAAAACCTATTACTTAAGGGATTTGACTCTTGGTTGACTGGTTTTTCAAGTAAGAAATGAAAATAGTCCATCTATCAGCAGAAACTTGAAATCTGCTGTCAGAAACCACTTCCCAATGCAAAACCACATCTTTCTTCCCTTTCCTCACTTAACAGACCATTCGATCTAAAGAAACATAGGTAGATATTTAAATGCATTACAGTGTAAATACTGATTCAAAGTAAAACTGTTTCTGTAACTCTTGTGTTCTCTTAAGTGTTTCTGTAATAATGATAATAATAAATTTTACTCTCTGGAGTTCTCTTTCAACCAGACAAATAACAGTTTGTGTTGCGAGTCATTAAGTATTATTTAAGCACTCACCAGAGCTCAGGAAGAAATCCAAGAACTCTAGGGAATTGGTGAACACCTCTGAATCAGGCCTTGTTTTAAGAATCAGCACATAAATGTGCAATGTAAATCAAGGGATGAATGTGTGCTGTGCTAGGAATTATAAAACTATCAGAGTGATAAAGGTAAAGAGGTGGGACACTGCTGTTTGATCTAGTAGTCTGGATATATACACTGTGAAAAGTTACTCTATTCCAGAATTCTCATTTGAAGTGAATCAAAATTTGCAACAGGGCTATAATTAGAAAGAAGAGGCGGTAGGGGGATGACCCAATTAAGATAAGTGGGAAGTCATAAACTGAACTATAGAAACCACCAGTTTCCTTCATTAGAATTTGAAAAACAGAACGCAATAACTCTGCTAGTCTCTTGTGCTCACACTGGATCAAATTTAGCAAGAACACTATATGAAAAATAGCCATGGCATACTTAATTACCTTCCTTAATTACTCTGAGATCTGCAGCAGCAAGAGCATCTCACATGGGTCCATTTATTTCTGCTTCACAATCCAGTGTGCAACCAGGTTTCTGTTAGTTAGAAAACAAATGAACAGAACTATAAACAAAAGTCACTAACAAGCAACAAAGGAAGTTACTTTTGCCCAGAGCTTTGCATCTAGAAGGACTTCTCTTCTCAAAAAAATGAGTTCTAGACTTTTATATTCACAAGAAGGTTTCCTTCAGGTTCCCTGCATGGATGGCATGTGTAGGTTATAAGAGACTAGGATGTCTCTTCTCTACTTCTATAATTAATATACAGATCAAGCAAAGAGCCAAGTACCATGTGACCTCAAATGCTGTAGCTAGATGGTACCATGGAAAAGTTAATTATAATCCCTAAAACGATGTGGCATTTCATTGTGAATCCATGAATCATTCTCTGTCTGGTCTAGTCTCCTGAGATTCATTTTCATAGCAAACTAATCTTTAGAGTGTCAGACTGTGATTAGCGACACTGACACATTTTACAGATTGGGTCCTCGGAGTGCTGCCTACCCTGTTGCTGTAGAAAATTTGGTAGAAATCTTGGCGATTCTAATCTTGACATTAGGAAAATTGGCAGAAAATTTAAATACAAATCTCCTTTCAAAAAAAGATTTGACCAAGATTTCTAATCTAGAAGAGCTGAATTGTTACGAACAACTTATATAATTGAATAGACTATAATAGATAGGGATGATGGCTTGTGAGGAGGAGACAGCCTTTACGTAACACTTTAACTTATATTTGGGTGTTTGTCAATTAATCACTCTTACATTTTAACATACTTCTTGAAAGGTCATAATGTAAGAAGAGGTTCTTGTCCTATTAGGTTTAAATATCAAATGCTATGAATAATTTTAAAACATCCTTAACCTTAAAGCATGCAATATACCCGCTAAAGATTGGTTTACCGAAAAGTATTACACACAAAAGAAGATCGTGAGGAAGAATCTGACAATTCAAGATGTCATAAAGGACACAGAGTCAGCGATACAGTGTTATACATCTCTTTGCATCCCTTAGGAATGTTTGTGGTTTATATGACTAACTGTGAGCATGCAGTGACCCCCACCTCAAGCCCCTGTAATTTAGTAGAAGGATATTTAGATTTAACTCTGCTAGCATGGACAATAAGCTATCAAAGAAACATTGCTTTGGGTCTTCCTTTAGTCATCGGTTTTGTTCATCAGACCCAGAAGATAACTTTCACACTTGAGCGAGTAAAACGAGACCTTCGCTTAGCCAGGCTGGAACTATTGAAGTTCTTTCTCACTCCCTCTTTTTCTCAAGGAGAAACTTGTAGCTATGGGAAGAAGAGTTCACGCTCCCGATTACAATCAGGATACTGAGTCTAATGAGTTCAGGGAGGGAAGGGTAGAGGGGTGGTTTGGTTGTATTAACTTGCATTTTCAAGTTGTGTATTATTAGGAAGAATCATATATAGGTCAACATTGTTTATGATATCTTTGTGTTAAAACATAAACTCCTAAAGAGCCCTTTCCATTTATCTTTGTGCACAAAAGTTATAGGCAGTTAACTGTTCACAATGAAGACACAGATCTGGAGTCAGTGGGCTAATCACTCAAATCTCTTGCTAGGCATTAACACTGACAACAAACAGGATTATTAACACATGATCATGGAAGGAAAAGCAGCCCATTGGAACGAAGCTATAGCTTTATGTACCAGCACCTAAAGTATGTGCAAAAGAAGTCAGTCTCATGTTGCTCACACAAAACCTGCAGATATAAAAGTTGAGGAGTAAATTATAGGACTAATAAAGTTAACCTGGTAGAGTCCAAAATGGCATATGCAGCAGAGGAGAAAAGCAAACAGAAACAGTTCATGCTGTTTTAATTGCTACAATTTCGTTGGCAATTTAAATAAAATAATTCAAATTGCTGCAATTAACACACACAGAGAATTCAAAGGACAGTGGGTGACCTCACAGAAAACACACCATGCAATCAGCCCTCCTCCAAAGAATTAACCTTCATAAATCATTTGCATCCAGAGGACACCTGGCTTCATACTCTGCAAAGATTATCAGCACAGGAAAAGCAAGGCCCCTGAACAAGAATGCCCATCAACAAAAGCCCTGTCTCTGGGTTTATTTCATCCATATTAATGCACAGGGCTTGGCTGTGTTAAACTCACAAACTTCCTGACTGAAGGTGGGATTTTGCTGTTTCTGCCTGGGTGCACCCGCGAGGCTTAGAAGGAGCCCATCAGCAAGGACTGTGGCTGCTCTGTTGCTGAGCAGTGAGTCTGATTCACATTGGCAGAGATTCCTCTTTTACTTGACTGCAGGGCACAAGAGCATCTTGTCTGAGGTTTGGGCCTGGTTAAAGTGCTTTCTTCTCCAACACAGGAGAACACTGAAGCCACAGACTGTTATTCGTGATGTGGGGGAAATGTGTTGTGTTTCTCCAGTCACCTGAATCCAAATTTTAGATGTATCATGTGGAACACATGATACGCCTTTTCTTTTCTTAGGTCAGCTTTATGTGAGCAGAGAAGTGACAGAATCGAGAATGATGATTTGTAGTCAAAAATTTTCAAAGTAACGGTTGGATGAGCCTAATATGAGGGAGAGAGAACCTCTGGAGTAACTTGTGTGAGGTCAAGATCTGGGGAGAAAGGCAAACATTTAAACAGCTGCCCAAGAGATATCATATTTACATTTAGAATGTATCCCCCTTTAACTCCTTAAAAAAATCTTGGCTCTGCATGACACTATTTCAAGGTCAGAAAGCTCTTCTTTCTGCCTTTTCTGAGTTCACATATAGATGCTTTATAATAAAAAGGCATAGGAAATATTGAATTCAAACTTGCCACTCACATTTGCCCTAAAAGAATATTTTCCTACTAGTTCTGTGTTTGTATGATTAATTTACACTAGTTTGTTGTTTATTCAAAATAACACTTAAAATAAATTTCATGCTGTGGTGAATTTGTGGGCGATGGTTATTACATCACTGGCAACGCGAGTACAGGAGAACAGTTAATGATCATAATCGTCTGTGGAAATGGTATTTGTGAGTTGGGATGAAACTATCCACTTTTACAATTTACTGATTTATGTAATATACTCTCAAACAGGGTTACTAACAAACAAAATCATCTATTTTTACTAGCATCTCCCGGAAGTGTATGGGAAGTAGCCCTACCAAGGAAATACTGCTGATGGCTACACCCAGACGCTATGGCAGGGTAGAGTGGTGGGGGCATAAAAGAAAAGCCCGAGGAGCCAGAAAAAGCATATATGCCTCACTTGTAAATAGTTCTTTTTCAATGTAGTTCAGCAAAAATACTGAAGTATTAGCAAACCGAAAAGGCAAAAACAAAATTCAAAACTAAGAAACAAAATCAGAATTCTTGAATGCAAAACATTTGTATGCAAATCAGTACAAATTAAAGCAAGTTCATTTTGAAAGAAGTTCTCCATAAAATGCTGCCAAAATCAGATTCTTAAATGGTTATCTGAACATTAGTTGAAACAGCTTAAATGGTGCATGCTTGGGAATAACAAATTTTAGTAATTTATTTCCAGACTGACCTTTTCCAGGCCACAATAAATCACCCATACATAGTGTCTTTTTCCATGAACCTTCTATTTAAGAAAGGTAAAAATGAAAGTACTGTTGAGAGGTGAGGCAGGCAGACTCCAATACGAAAACTAAAACTGGAACATGTAAGCAAAAATCTAACTCCCTGTCCTGAAATTCATCTTTATAGAAAGCGAGTATTTTGTTGTTACAACCACACTTTCCTCATGTGCTTTGCTTCTTTCACCTCTGCAGCTAGTTGGCAAAGGAAGAGCCATCAATGTCCTTGCTGTTCGCATTCAAATGTTAGATAAAAAAACAGGATTTAGAGAAATGAACAAGATGATTACTAATGGTTGTGCCCATCCCTGAAAAAGTCACTCAAGGTACTAATTTAGAATTGGAGTGTTTAGACTCAAAATATTCTGTAACAGTCTTACCTGAAAGTGCAGTGTTGAAATAAGTTATTATTATTAAAGATAATCATGTCTTTATATCCTACCTCTTTTTAACCATAATTTGAATATTACAGTCCCAAGTTGTATGTAAAATTTAAAGAAAAGCAACTTTAGGGAAAATCTAGAGATTCATTATAGTATTTCCTGCAGTATATTCTAGCTTATTATATATTTTGTTTACAAAGTAAGTGATCTTTATTTATGAGATTAAATCATTTGCTTCTTAATCAAGAACAAAGATGGAAATGAAAAAATTAAAAAGTCAATATGAATTTAGATTAGAAATGTAGGTCATATATATATATATATATATATTTATATATATAATCACAATACACACAGTTACAATAATAGAAAAGAAAGGAAGTTTAAAAATATATAATACCCATATCTAATATGGATCTTACACAAAAAATAAAACCAAATTTCACATTTTTTAATGAATGAGTACCTTTTAAAAAGAAATACATGATTCTTAAAATTACCAGGATGGAAATGGTCACCCTCAATTATTATTCTAAATTTTTTTTTAATAACACACAGTGAATAATAGAAAAGAAAGGAAGTTTAAAAATATATAATACCCATATCTAATATGGATCTTACACAAAAAATAAAACCAAATTTCACATTTTTTAATGAATGAGTACCTTTTAAAAAGAAATACATGATTCTTAAAATTACCAGGATGGAAATGGTCACCCTCAATTATTATTCTAAATTTTTTTTTAATGATGCCAAAATTTACTGAATGAGGCAAATTTAAGAATTCTGTAGCCTTACAATTTGATGTTATTCTCTGTATTAAAAAATAGAGTTCATCAAAAAATGTATATCTAATTCAGAACAAGCACAACTTGTATAAATATTTTAATACTAAATTTACTGAAACATCACAAGGTTAATACAAGTGATCTTTGGCCTCTACAATTATAAGCGGTGCTCAAAGTTGTGGCCATGAGCTTCCAGACATTTATTAGTATGGGACTGCTGCTTGGGTAACCTTGTTCACTGAGACGGCTGCAAATACATTTTCAAT